AAGTGAAAGTTTTCTGAGGTACATCTGCAATTGTCGGAAGGCAAAAATAAATAAAAAATATTGAAACACTTTGTTGGTGGGAAGGCATCCACGAGTACGACGCTATCGGCAAGCAAAAGGCGGGCAAGACTTAGCGACCCAAACAGAGGCGAATCTCGATTGATATCTAGGCTCGGCGCTCGCTATAAATATTGATGGCGTGGTCCGTATTATCATTTTCAAATCCCCAAGCTTCCGCTGATCGATTTCTGGAAGGCGGTCCATATACGTACGTACACAGTGCTCGTTGCAGAACTCACGACAATGTCGAGGTTTGCGTCCGTGTCGCATATACGTACACAGTGCTCGTTAAAGAACACACGACAATGTCGAAGTTTGCGTCCGTGCGGCGTATGTATGCGTGTCGCTGTGATTAAGGGTCATTGTCTACAACAACCATACCATCCGGACAAGGTGATGCAGAGTCCCACGTATCGTGTCGACCAATGCCTGCGAACGAACGCGTACGCACAGAATGTTCCTAACGTTTCATACCTCAACGTGTCCAAGATGCTTGGTTCCATCAGTGGGTGTGCAGTGTCGAGGAAACTGTTACAACGTAGTCAGGCACAGTTTACCATAGGTGCGACTGCGGCAACCAGCCTTCCGTAGAAATAATACAGGAAGGAGAGATGGTACTCAGCAGAGAACATGAGCACAGAGTTGTAGCGGAGATAATTTGGCAGGCGAGACTGTAGTTGTTTTGTTGTTCCGAACCCCGACATTCCGGTACTGGGGCCATTACCCCGGAGACCCTCAGAACCTGCTGTGTTTTTGCTGCTTGTTTTTTGTTTTGTTTTGTTGTTGAGCTGAGACACAAGCGCGCCTTCGCCCCTTTGTGCTCACTCTCATCTAGCACCCATCAAGGCCTGACCAGGGAGTCAGTTGAAAAGAACAGCTATCTACATCTCTCTTTCCGAAGCTCGCTCGGGCCTACCGATCTCACAGCAGTGTAGACCAACCTCTGTAATAGAGCGGTGACAGCGGTGTAACCTCTGTG